GATTGTGGAACTGGCAAACGTCATATTTGTTTCATTTAAAAAAACGAAGTACCCTCGGATAAATTGACATTCCAGATAACTTGACCTTTGTCATTTAAATTATTTCATAAAAGAAAGAAATTATTTCATAACAGAAATACTAGGTTACTACTAGTAACCTAGTATTTCCTTTATTACTGTATAATGTAATCCTAGTAACAACTAATTAATTGTGCAATTTATATAAATGTTTGAAATAAATAAGACAAAATTATATTTTTATTTATTTAGAAGCTACGGGTTAGTTTCAAAGGAGGACGAGTACATTGTTGGACAAGCCGTCCTCAGGGACAGGTAAAATTTCTGAGTTTTTTCGAGCCCTGAATCAGGGTTTTAATTTCTTAAACCCTTCGAACCCAAAATTTCAATTTCTCTTGTTATGCTATTTCAAGAAAAATAGAAGTTTTCCGAACTACTCGAATAAATAAGACTGTTTATCTAGTTCCGAAATAGCAGATCACCGAAGTCAAGCATCACTGGCTGCGGTCAGTGTGCGGGTGGGTGACCACTAGGATCAGTCTGCGCAGGGACCGAGGTTGTGCGGTATTGGTCCTCGTTAAACTGTGCTACCGTAAAGTGCTCGACTTCGCTCGCAGGTCGTCGGGCTACCGAAGCGGGGGTGCCATCCCCTCCGCAGAGGATCAAAATTGTGATGGCATGTCTTCGGATCATCCTCCGGGATGTTTCCCAGACCGTCGCCAATAGCCCATTGTGCAGCTCTAGTGCGACGTAAATTAACAACAACAACAGTTCCGAAAAAATGAATGCATTATTCATTTGAAATGATTGCATCCATTCATGCATGGATGAATGAATGAAAAACGAATCATGATTATGCATGAAGGCATAATCATGATTCGTTTTTCACACATTTTTCAGAAAAATATCTAAAACGGTGCTGAATAAAAGGGTTGCGAAATACGTTACAATTACGATACGTTACGTTCCTTAGAGGGATAGTTGTTTCACACACGTTAATAGTAACCTAGAGTCGCATCTGGAGTGTAAAGGGTTAATAGTACAGTAGAGAACCGATTATCCGGAACGATCGGGACTATCGCTATTCCGGATAACTGATTTTTCCGGTTTTCTGAATCGCTACAAAAAGCAGTTTTTTTAGTGTTAAACCCAACTAAAAAAAAATATTTGGAAATAATCTTAGAAATAAGAAAAAACGATGAGGTAATACACTAATGGTTATTTCTGAAATGATGGTAAGGTAAATATCTTTCAAAAAAGAAAGAAAAATCCTAAAATCTTATGAGTAAAAAAAAGTTTTTTTTAAAAAATTGCGGGAAAATTTATCGAATTTCGTTCCGGTTTTTTGGTTTTCTGATTTCCGGATAACGGGTTCTGTACTGTATAAAAAATTTTGAATTTAAGCCCAATTTGTTTGTTTATCATTATTATTTAAAGTGTGCTTGTTAAAACAACATAATACGTTTTCAATTTGCGTTGCAAGTGTAAAAATACGAAAATAGGATTTGTGCAAAAAAATAATACACAATAAGAAACAAGGTAATGTCTATCAAGGGGCTGTTCTGATGTTCTTATCTCAATTATAGAAAATCCCTTTGTAAGCCATGCTCGCCTTTTTCCTTTGATTTATTGTTTTTTTTTTTCAAAATGTTTGATTTGATGTTCCATTGTTTGTTTGATTTCGAAAATAATAGTATTTTTTCATTTTGTAGTAACCGTCCTACAAGTCGATTCCTGCCAAAACCATCATCCCTAGACAAAGATGACGCACCAGCAGATACTCCACGTCGTTCCAACCTTTCAACAACAGCTGGTAGTCGCTCTAGTCCGATGGATAAACGAGATGACAGGCCAAAGCTCAGACTGTCCATACCTCAGCATTCCCCTTCGTCCAGCGAGACTAGCTCAAGCTCAGAAAGTGAGAGTGAAGATGTAGATAGCGAAGCTGCAATTAAGCGAGGAGATATTAGTCCCTCAGTAAATACATTATTAGCACGCAGTGCTCAAGCAAGAAAGCAGAGTGCTAACACACAGGCTAGAATCCTTAACCAGCCGGAGGACAAACTACCACGACCTTCCAACAGGCCTTGGAGAGAATCACTAAGAAAGGACGAAGAGCCGTCTAGAGAAAGTCTGTCATCGCCAAGGTTAATTAATTTATGATTTTTATAATGTAGTTCCCCTGAGTCGTAGTGGCTCAGGGGATAGAGTGTTCGTCTTCCAATGAGATGAACCAGATTTGAATTAGGTGAACCAGCACCGACCACAGTACTGACATAAAATATTCTCAGTGGTTGACGGTTTATGGGTTAGAGTCCCCTTGCCACCAGGCTAACCGTGTGAGGTTTTCATGGTTTTCCTCTCCATGTAACGCAAATGCGGGTTAGTTGCCTCAGAAAAGCCTGCACAAAGGCAAATTTCTCCCAATACTTGATCCAGCAGTTCTTTTGTCTTCTGGATTGAATTCAAAATGATAAGGTTAAGGAGTTGAACATTGATAGTCGTAAACTCAGAATCGGGTCAGCTCTTCAATGACAGTTATAAAATAAAATGCAGTTTCTTTCCATGTAATGCAAATATGGGTTAGTTGCATCAAAAAAGAAAGCAAGTTTGCATCCATACTTGATCCAGGAGTTTTCTTGTCTTCTGGGTTAGGTTCAAAATTACGAGGCTACGGAGGTGAGAATTAATAGTCGTAGACCCAGAATTGGGACGGCTAATCAATGCTGGTTATAAAATAAAATAAAATGTAGTTTGATTAGGCTAGAAAGACTTAAAGGATCGAGAACTCGTCTCCCAGTAAGGCGACTCAGGCTCGAATCCTAGTGACGGCTGATCGAAATGTCCATTGCTTTTGTAGGTTAATAAACCTATGTGGGTCTAGAGAAAAGAGAATTTTGCCTTCTGCAAGCTTCATTCAAAATCTCGAATCATTCGATAGTTTCCGTTACAAGAATTTCCATTACTATTCTCAGGAAAATCTATTCGACATTGACCCATAATACGATGCAAAATTGGTGCAAACTTAAACATGGTTTTCTAAATATTAGAGTTAATTCGAAAATTATTTCCTCTCAAGTTGAACTACGATAGCGCGTATAATCGAATTTAAGAAGCAAGATCATCATATTGTGTAACATAGCACTGTACTAAGGAACAAATCTGAATGAAATTACGGTTCAACTCATTTTAAAATTTCTAAAAATTAGGTAGAATATAAGGGCTTGTTTTCAATCTTTAACCTGTATTACTTTAGTCTTTAACCAGAATAAAATCTTTAACTAGATTTTTACTCAATCTTTAACCAGAATTAAAGACTTCATTTTGTATTGTCACATGACATCTGAAGAGCTCATCTTTTAGGTTCTAAACTGCTAATGCATGAAATTCCTGAAGTCAGCCCTAAAAGAAATCTTTAATTTTTAGACTATTGTTTCTTTCTTTTTCACTTTTTTTCTTGGATTACAATAGTTTATTTATCTAAGTTATAAAACAAAATTAAATAGCTATTGGACAAGCAGATTCGTATTGGGATACAGTCTTGAATTGGATACTGCATTCCAGCGTTCCAGACTGTATCTAATATGGAACCGTTATTGACAATTTCAAACATAATATTTTACGTTATAAAAATCTTATTGAATAAAAACAAGTTTATTGGATGTAATTCACACATTAGTTTATCGCATTACATTGTATCAAGCTCTTTAAGGAAGGGAATTCCTATCTAATTTCGAGGAAAGTAATGATTTTCGAATACAGAAATGCTTGAATTACATCAGTTTATAGTCCAATAATTATGTATTTAATATAAATTAAAACCCGTTTCTGCAATTGTAATTTAAAAAAATTATGTAGAAAATTTTAACTTAATTCATTAAAAAAGAAACAATTTGAATCTGGTCAAGGTCAACACACATATTGACGTTAAAAAAAAACCTTGTTTTCCACAATATTATGCAACAAAATATTACACATGATTAATCTATACAGGTATTTAGAACTTATAATAATATCTATTTTTTAGAAGGAAAACTTCTATCATTGAACCCGAAGAACGTACACCTTACAGTCGTCTCTTCGACAGACGTCGTTCTAGTGTCACATCTGGCAACACCAGAGCGAGAGACGTCAGTCCCGAAGACAACAGCTATTTAGCTAGACGAAACCGAATAGCCAGAAGCAAGAGTACTCACGACCTGTGCCCAGCTGAAGATAGCCCAGAAGATGACACCTTAACAGCGATACGAAACAGATATCGAACTCGACGTGCCATGCGAGACGCGAGTCCAGAAGAAACAGCTCCGCATTCCTGGTCTCAGTATATGAAGAACAAATATGGAAATAGTGGAAGACCTAGTACAACGAATACTGGACTAGTCAGGAGCCGGACATCTGCATCCCTTGTTGCACCAAGGTCAGAAAGTGATAATAGCTCTGATGAAGATACTCCTCCCAGGAGAAAAACAGATTATTCTAGAAGGGGTGACAGCAATTCTCCCAGAGGATTCAGCCTTCCTAGAAGAACATACATGCAAAAGGGAAAATCATGCTTCAAATTTGGCTCTAGGGGGACTGAGCACGGAGGTTTTACCTGGCCTAGAGGTGTCAGCGTCGGAGCAGACAATACCATAGTAGTGGCTGACAGTAACAATCATAGAGTTCAGGTAAGCATAAGTTTTTCAAATTCTCTATCATTCTAACAGCTCAGAGGGGATAGAGCATTCGCCTTCCAATGAGGTGAACCGGGTTCGAAACCCAGTAATTGCTGGTCGATATGAATAGAAAATATAGAAATAGAATAGAAAATATTAATAGAAAATATAGAATAGAATATATAATAGAAAATATAGAATAGAATATATAATAGAAAATATAGAATAGAAATTATTCTAAGATTGCCACGACTTCATTCTTCATTTAAGCCACTAAGTTAATGTAAAAGGTGAAAATAAAATAAACTGTACGGAGCCTCTAAATATAATTTGTTTGTGACAAAGCATAAATATATGATCTTGGTAAAAATCTATCATATTTCTAGTCATTTAATTAAGGGAATTATACTGTGTTTGTTTCTTTTCTTTGACTTATTTCTAGAATTAATAGCAGTACTAAATATTCCTTTTGAAAATGACAAAAACGCTCAATAGAATAGAGATTAGAGTCATTAGTTGGATTATAATTAGAAAATATTCTAAAATTGCCACTTCTTTCTTTATTTGATTTCATCTTGTGCAGTATTCTAAAAAAATTCTTAATTGATTATTCTCAGGTTTTTAGCGCCTCTGGTAAATATATTCAAGAGTTTGGAACATACGGTAGCGCAGACGGAGAATTTGACTGTCTTGCCGGAGTTACTGTCAATCGAATCGGTCAGTTCATTGTGTCGGACAGATACAACCATCGTCTGCAAGTTTTTGATCCTAATGGTCGCTTCATCAGAGCTTTTGGACATGAAGGCAGATCGGATGGAAAGTTCAATTACCCATGGGGTGTGGCCACAGATAACCTGGGATTCATCTATGTATGCGACAAGGAGAATCATAGGATTCAAGTAAGTCAAGGTTGTTTGAAATTTCTTTTATTGGCATGCGAGTGTTGCTACTGGATGCAGTGGAGTGCTTATACCCATCTCAAGAAAGAGTAATTTCGCAATCGCGGAAAACTTTATAAAAGAAAATAATGTGAACTACTGATTATCCACGGAATTATGTGACGTGATAATGGCTGTAAAGCAAGTTCCTCAAATAACCCTGGGAAACAAATCTTTTTTATTCAATATTGCATGAAATTGGATATTTTTCACGCCGCTGATTTCAAATCTTAAATCAGTTTCTCTTTAAAGCCACAGCTTTCACACAAGTAAAAAAACTATTCCTCAGAAGGCTTTTTTTTAAAAAAAACTTCATTCGATTGAGTACTAAGTGTCTTCTCTTCTCTGCTGCGCTAGGAGTGGTGGTAATAAATAAATAATATGCATTTCATTCTATGATACATAAAGTTAAGGTCATATGTCTTTGTCTTATAAATTTGTACGTTCCTTATAAATTTGTACATTCAAATAAACTAAACTAAATATTTCAATTTAGAAATTGATAGAATTTTCAGAACAAAACTAATTTCAGATTTAAATTCCCCACACCAGAATTCGGTAAGATCGAGTACTTGAATAAATGCAACAAGAAATTGGTTCTCCAAAATAATCTGTTTAAAAAAAAAATTAAAATTGCCTGTACCTTTTTATCGTGTTTAAACCTCTTTCTTTGTCTGTGGTATTTTTTAAAAATATTAAAAACTACACAAAACTACCTATCAATAATTTTTTAACCCTATGAAGAAAAGCAAATTTCGGTTACAAATATTAGTCAGGCAACACACGAGCAACTGCGACTTCAGGCAGTGGATTCTTACTGAAAAGTCATACTTTATCTCTTTGTTGCACAAAGAATAGTGGTCGTTAGAAACTGGTGAACGTCTAGAAGCAAACAGTTTTTTATTTCTAGTATTTTGTAATATTTTAGGATTAAATGGCATCACTACGTGGAAAGGGATGTAAAACAATAAAAAAACTGTTTTTAATTTTTTTTGGTTATATTTTCAGCCTCGTCTGAAACTTAAAAAATTTATCATTCCAAATCAGCTTTGTTTCCTGGGTTTTTAAAATTAGTTATTTTAAAGTTGGCAGTATGTTAGTGATTTGTTCATTAAATTGGCAGTCTTTATAGTCTTATAAAATATTTTGTATGGTCTGAAATAATGCATGTTAAAGAAAGAGTTTTAGTGTGAGTCGTGGTTAATAGTTTGGTGGTGATGTTTGTTTAACAGTGGTGTTCTTTTCTTTCTTTTAGAGTGTTCTATTTTTTTTAAAATAAAAATTAGACTCTTAATACATTGGATAAGGAAATTTAGACTCTTAATACATTGGATAAGGAATATATATAATCTTAATACATTAGATAAGGAAATATAGACTCTTAATACATTGGGTAAGGAAATTTAGACTCTAAATACATTGGCTAAGGATTGTCGAGGCCCAGTTTTCCACAAAAATATTTAAAGCCACATGTTCTCTTTTACAATTATACTGCAATTGCTAAGAGAAGCAATTAAAAAACTTTAAAAAAAGAGAGATGGACAATGTAATTGAATGGAATTAATAATCCAATTAAACTAAAACAGAAAGATGTACTTGTTATTGCAAAACTAGCTTCAAAAATTCGACGTATTTCAAATACTCAAAACAGGGCGCCAAATATTAGGATCCATCATACATGAAATCATTATTCACGTATTGGCTGATGCCTGCTTTTAGTATTTGAAACACGTCGACTTTTTCTAGTTCACTTTGAAATTGTTGAAATTTTTTCTTTGGCAAACATAATTGAATTTTCACATGAATTAAGGATAATAATATTATGTCTCATAAATATTTCATAACAAAACCTTCAATTGTATAACAATATTTCCAATCTATCTAGTTACCAAGTACTTTGACCTGAACATTACCAAGTACTTTGATCTGAAATTTGTTAGTAATTTTTACATTTATGAGTTTATTTCCCCCCTTCATTTTATATGAAATAAAATACTTATCATTTATTTATCATGAGCCCTAAGCCCTTTATATAGTTGTTGAACGCTTAAAAATTGTTAATGAAGCATTATTCTCTTAAAAATAAAGCCATTCAGGGACAGCCCATTGTGAGCCACTAGGATCATGAAGAGTGAGGCTCTATAATTTCCAGACTAATAGTATGATTGTGATAGTGTGTTCAGCATTGTGCAAAAGGCTGTGTTTACTTCTCAGGCAAACTGATACCCATTGATCTGAAACTGGACTGCCATGGACGATCAAACCTTAGTTCTTCATAATAAGAACAAGCAACTTCAAGCCGCTATGGACTATCAAACCTCAGTTCTTCATAATAAGAACAACCAACTTCAAACCGCTAAGGACTATCAAACCTTAGTTCTTCATAATAAGAACAACCAACTTCAAACCGCTATGGACTATCAAACCTCAGCTCTTCATAATAAGAACAAGCAACATCAAGCTACTATGAACTATCAAACCTTAGTTCTTTATAATAAGAACAAGCAACTTCAAGCCGCTATGGACTATCAAACATCAGTTCTCCATAATAAAAACTCAGTACCTTTAACCATTTAGTCATTGCTGCTTAAACATCATTCTTTAGCTATTTCCTATTTAGGCCAATAACGCCTTAACGAATTTCGAAGAACATTTGTGGCATGGAAGATCTGAACGAGATGCGTACTTTATAAAATCAGGTGTTCTGAATTCCACTACGAGTTCTATGATTCATAACTTTCCGCTCCTAATAAATGTCATGTAAAAACATAAATGTACGATTTTTTCAGTCAGAAAGAGTTGGTATGTCCTGAACGATTACTTGCCAAAATATATGGAAACGACATTCTCGCGTTGACACTTTGAGCGATCGTTAAAAAAGGAAAGTCGGGAAAAAGCGGGCATGCTTTCTAGAACTCGCACAATCGTTTGCGTTTAACCATTTCAAAGGTTTGGACAAGTGCCGGCATTTATCCGTGACACAACAAAGCTCCTTTAGGTGAGAGTAGAAAAGAACGAAAGTGTCGTCGTTAATAACTTCTCTTTTTTTGAGGACAAGTTGCCAATTTACAAAATGTTTTTTTTTTCATTTATTTTTAAATGAGAGTTTCTCAAAATAAAAAAAAATATCGAAAGTATTACGAGGTAATACTCAAAAATGTCACACCTTTATATTCTTTTCTGTATTCACTTTAAATAGATGGGATACCTTACACCGAATGCCAGTGGTACAGGATAGAGATCCTTTAATAAATAAAGCTCCTTTATATTCTTTATGATATTCTGTATTGATATTTTAGTATTATGAGGTAATGCTAACAAATTTCTCGCCATCATATTCTTTTCTGTATTTATTTAGTAATCTTATCCCAAGAGTAATCTTAAAGAGTAATTTTATCCCAAATGTAAAGTAATCTTATTCCAAATGCTACTGAAAAGAAGTAAATTCCATTAATGAATTAAGGGAGCGTAAATTTTATTGGCTTCAATTTCACAAAAATTTTAGGAATCCAGTTGCTCAGTTTTCACAGAGATATTCATTTTCCACATATTTTTGGTCAATAATAATGAACTAAAACATTTCATTTTCTTCATCTTTTTCAACTAGTTTCTAAATATTTCTGAAAAATGGATACCTTGCATTTTAACATCCGGCGACCAGGTGGCAGAGCGGTCAGCGTACCTGACTGCGAAGCCAATGGTTGCGGGTTAGAATCGCTCACGAAGCATAGATGCATCTCTCTGTGTTGTTCTTTATCGTGTGTGATCCCAGCGATGGCTGGTCGAGTTCCACACCTGACTCACTTCGAGCATAGTGCTAACGTAAATTATCTTCAGTGGTAGACGGATCATGGGCTAGAATCCCCTTACCGTAAGGCTAACCGTGGAAGGGTTTTTGTGGTTTTCCTCTCTATGTAACGCAAATGCGTGTTAGTTCGAACAAAAATTGCTCCATGAAGGCAAACTTCTCCCAATACGTGATCCAGTAGTTTCCTTGTCTTCTGGATTGGTTCCAAATTACAAGGTTGCGGAGTTGAACATTAGTAGTCGTAAATCCAAAAATTGGGTCAGCTATTCAACGACGGTTATAAAATAAAAAATAAAATATATGTGTATAGGATATGTTTGTTAAGACATTCATGCTGGCGAAGGACCTGAGAAAATCTTATGTATCTGAAGTATTATTAAGTTATCACTTCGTAAATTTTTTTCTAACTGTCGTACAAATTGGTAACTAATGCTCACTGATATGAATGAAGCATTGGCTTTATATCTAATTTCTATTAAATTATAAAACACGATCTCACTTATAATTTAAACTATAAAATTAATTTCGGCAAAATATTTTGAAAAATTGGAGAAACTGTTTATATAACTATATTTCATTTCTTCTTTTCGTTTTCTAAAGATGTAAATTATATGCGAGTACCACTTATTTTCTTGGTTACAACGCTTACCCATGCATAAAGGGATTTTATTTTATGACTGCCGTTGAACAGTTGCGTATAGGGATTGGACAAAATTATGGAAACCCTTCTGTACTAAATCAATGTAAACTATCTCTCTTTTAGCAGTAAATGTTTTGGACGATTTCACATGGCAAGAACGTTGGCACAATTTTAAATAACATGTTTGTGATGTAACTTTTTTATCCATGCAAAATTCGCATCGACCGAAATGAGTGCATGAAGTTAAAAGTTTCTTTTCTTTCTGAATAGCGCTATAATTTAAAAAGTATTCTTATGCAAACACCACAATCCTAGAGAATGATTTCACTACTCCCCCACCCCTCTTGCCGATAAATTTAATCTTCCAATAAGGAGCAAATACTCCGAACCCAAATTTACACAGATATAGTAGAATGATTTCAAAATTGTTGTTGTTGTTGTTGTCGGCCATTTAGGCAGTGGGGGTGCGATTGTTAATGTTTTCTATTGGCGCCATCTATGGTCAACAATTCATGTTCTGCCACATCCATATGTCACATCCGTTTATGGGACGGATCCATTCATTCGTCCACAGATCGTAATTTTGGTCTGAACCAGAGAGCGATAAATCTCCAATTCAGTAACCCCCAGAGGCATGATTTAGTTTGGGAACGAGGAGGACTTTGTGACCCGACAGATTTAACGTGCACCAGCCACCATATACTACAAGAGGAGTCTTCTGCCCGCTGGATTCAAACTCACAAACGTGAGTCCACCGCCCAGCCAACCATACTATACCGGCCTAACATTTTAGTTACTGAAGCTAAATAAAAATAATTAACTTTTGTATGAGTTAGAAGGACATAATTTCTAAAATCTTCAAGCGTGATCTTTTAAATTGTGCCAAGAGTTATGCCATAAAAACTCTTCAAAATTATTTGCTGTTAAAAGGATGATCATTCACGTGTAGTTAGTATCGAAGTATTTCCGCATTTTTTGTCCAACCGTGCATATAGGGGGTCGGTATAGCACCGGACCCATGTCCGAGAGGTCATGAATTCGATCCCCTCCGACCGAAGACTCCCCATGTACTAAATGGTGGCAGACGCACGTTAAATCTGTTGAGTCACAAAGTCCTCCATGTTCCCATAACAAATCATACCTCTGGGGGTACTGATCCAGGAGTTTTCTTGTCTTCTGGATTAGTTTGAAATTACAAGGCTACGGAGTTGAGCATTAGTAGTTGTAAACCCAAAATTGGGTGTCAACGGCGGTTATAAGGTTAATAAAAAAATAAAAAAACACCTGCATATACTCGTGAAGTCATTAACAAGCAAATATTCTTAATAAACGTTAGTAACTTGCTATTGGTAACAATAAATATTTTACTTTAAAATGAACTATAAAAAATGGTTTTACTGCCAGTTTTGTTTCTTTTCTTTGTGAGTAACAGTTCTACGAAATGAAAAAAATATTCACATTAAAAAATTTTTTCTTCAAATACTAATTTTTTATTCAAAATTAATAAATATAAGTACATGCAAACAAAAGTATAACTAATAACAATGCGAAAAGCATATAGTGTGTCTTATACATTTAAAGATACATGGAAACTAATTACCAAACGCATATAAACCAATGTAAATAGCTGTTTCGTAACCATGTTAAATACCCATTCCTCATATTTAAACGAGAACTAATTAGTTGTTAAAGCTAAATAATAGGGAAGACGAAATATGTGCAGCAAAAACATTTTCCTACTTAACCTGAGAATGATGACATACTTTTTTCTTTCTACTTTGCAAGCAGGCATCGCTTATTTTTTAAATCTTTTTTAGAGCTCTTTGTTTTTTTCTTCCTGAGTGGAGGTTCAAGATAATAATGCTGATTTTTTTCCCCTCCTATTTTTGAACCATGGCAGTTTTTTTTTCTGTTAAAAATATATTTTTGGATATAAGTTATCTAGAACAACGTTGCTCTATATTTTTTTGCATATGCAATGCAATGTAGTTGCCTATATCATACATAAGTTGTTTAAATTAATATCTGAGATGCCAACTGCTCCGGACACTCCTAACTAATTTAAAAAACGGTAAATTAACTACAAAGTAAATTTTGCAAACATTCGACTATTTTTGCTTGCTTTTTAATGGGTATAGCATGACAGAAGAACTAGAAAGTGGTGAATTGTATAACCCGACGAATTATTTAGAAATAGTGGTGGATAAAAATCTACTAAATTGAACTTATTAAACCAAGAATCACAATTGATAAACTACCACTTTAAAATATATATTTGCTGTCCGGAGCAAGTTGGCATCCCTGTAATATCATTAATTGTTACCAGGGCTGAAAGCCCTTACATATCAAGACGAAAAAGAGTAAAAACTGGTAACAAATAAATTTCATTTTTTAATTTTTTCCAGGAATAATAAAAATCTATAACTACCAATTGTTTTTAACGGATACAATTTTTATAAAAAATTGTTTCTTCGCAGTACAAAAATTAATTACAGTGAATTGTTTATTGTTAAGAAAAGGTTAACTCCTCCCAAATATTATCTAATATTGAAATAGTTGTCCTACCAGTATTTTCTCTTTTCCGTCTCGCTTTCAGGCATGATGGTTACTTAAATATTTCATAGGTATATATATAAAAAAGTATATCATATATATTAAATATATCTTGCAAAATATACCATAGGTATTGAACTATAACTAAACACCTGTTTTGAAACATTGCAGAATTTTTTATGGGGTATATAACTTAATTACTATGATGGACAAAGTTTGGAGAATTTTTATCTTTGGTCGATTATCTCCAGAACTACTGGACAGATTTTGATTAAATGTAATAGATTGATCTAATACAAAAATAATAACCATTCAACTGTTCTAATACACACGTATTATCATGCGTAACACTCACCAGATTCGAATGGTATAAAAGAGTGGTTGCAGAATTGAATAAAAAACAGTTTAACCCTTTCACGCCGACTATCACAAATACGTGCCAGCGTAAAACAGTTTCAATCAGGGTAAAAAGATAAAACTGATAACCAAACTAGTTCTTCAGCAGTTTATTTGTGGGCGAGGTTATAATTGTCTGATTTATTTAATTCACCATTACTTTAGTTCAGAATAAAATTATTTAGTTATACTTTGAACTAACATAGATTACATATATGATTAAAATAACAATAATTAAAGTAAAAGCAAAGTAGGTCCGTCAAATTAGCAACGTCTACATTTAAGCTAACGTTTTTTATTTATTTACATCATGATTCTGATTTTGTACAAAGGCTTTTATGAATCACCCGTCCCCAAGGGGTTAAAGGGCCATTTACTTCTAGTAAAAGTAATTTGAAGTATTTTTGGAATTGAAATTGTTTTAAGAGTAGTAATTGATATAAGAAAAAAAAACTCATTTAGTTTATAAAAATGCCATTTTTTTGGTGGTAAATATATTTAACACGACCTATTAGGAACTTATTGACTTTTATTTTTCTTTATTTATAAAATAAATTTTTTAAATGCTGCAAACTTCAAAAGGAATTATGTATTTTATAACTTTTATACGTTTTTGTAAACTGTCAAATGGCTATCAATTTTATTCAAAAGCACTTCAAGAAATCTGAAATTATTAACAATTGGAAACCTAAATTAAAAGTGGTGGGAAGTATACTTCCCACGACCTTCGAAAGGGTTAATAGGGGGTTATGACCCCTAATACAGATATATAGGCTTCTCACCTTTCATACTGGAAATGAAACAGTTTGAATTCCTGTGGCAGTTTGTCTCACTTATTTAATAACGTTGATTTGAGACACTGGATGGTTCTCGGAGGGGGTTAATTAACCTCCCTTAAGCATATCAGACATATGGTTAAAGTCTGGATATCTGGCTGGCCAATCATCGGCAAATATCTACATTTTACAGAAAATGTCTGGCCAAAAATAGTGTGTAGTGCCACATTGCTCTCCATTTAAACGTAATCATGACCTACAGCACCAGAGATGCCAACTGCTCCGGACAAGACAGAATATTTTAAAAAAGTGGTTGAGAACTAAAATCTAAAAATTGAAGAATTTTGGTTGATTTTGACGTCTTTTTAAATGGCTCAACACGGTTTAACTGCAGCTAAGGGGCGTATTAGAATGCTGATAGCCGTTGAATTGTTTAGAAGTAGTAGTATATAAAAATTCGATAAATCGAATTTATTAAACCACGAATCATACATTAAAAGACTATTCCTGAAAAGGCAAACATAGGACTCCAAGACCTTACACCAGTCTCAGTACCAGACAGGACTGAAAGCTTATATATACCAGGACGGAAAAGAACAAAAACTGGTAGGAAGGACAATTCCTCCTAGCATTTTTTTTTTTCGAGAAAAATTAAATATCTGTGTAACTTCTAAATTTTTTTTCTATTGTAGCATATCAATAAAACTGCTTGATTCTCGAGCAGTCGTCTCCGCAAATCAATTGGCAAATTTAAGTTTGACTCTTTAAAGAATTAATTACATGTTAGTAGATTAAAATTTCTATCATCCTTAGATCAGAACTTATTCAGGGTGTTCCGCTTTTTATTTTGCACACTATACATTGATACTAAGAGAGTTAAAAAGAGTTGCTGCTGTTATGCTGGTTGAAATTACTATATTGGAAATAAGTTAATACAATTTTCAATGTTTATAGGTGTTCCAGGGAGACGGTACCTACGTGACGAAATTCGGAGGAATTGGGCAGCGACCCGGGGAGCTGGAACATCCTCACTACGTGGCTGTGAGTACGACGAATCGTGTGATAGTGAGCGACAGCAACAACCACCGAATACAGATTTACGACGTCAACGGTCGACTTCTATCGACATTTGGAACGGAGGGATCGGAGGAAGGCCAGTTCAAATATCCTCGGGGAGTAGCCGTCGACGATCAGGGTTATTTGATCGTTGGAGACAGTGGCAACAATCGAATTCAGGTAAGAACATTTAAACGGGGAAAGTCTTTTGCTTGAAACAGTTTTGTAACAATGCAAATTATGGTTATCTTTAAGCTGAAAAAAAATAACTTAGAAAAAGCGCAATTAGCACATTAAATTTGAAAGATACACTTTCAATGTTATCATCAGTGTCGAGCCACCGTCAGTCTGAGATTAGGAGCAGATTATGGTGCTTTCAGCTCTGTAACGGTCCCACAAATAAGCAAATTTCGGGCATACCTACAAGTGACGTACAGCGTGTGTCTGGATCCTGATTGGTTGTTGAAAAGTGGTATTTGCTTACGTTAGCAAATGTTCCTTATATTCGATTTCGACTAAGCCTAGACCGTCAAATATCAATTCTCTTAAGTGACACATTCTGAATTCTTTCAAAGATTCTTTCTCACAGATTTCAATTCTTTTACTATATATTTACACAGAGATTTAACACAAAAACAGGCACGAAACTGGCACAAAAACAGGAACAAAAACAAACTAATTATGCAGTGAAGTTGCCTGGTACATGAAACAAAAATATGCCACCGTTACAATAAAATACATAAACAAATAATTAAAACTGCTAAACAAATAGTTAAGTGAAATAAGTAGACAAGAAAGAATTATATTTCAACTTTATGAAAGAATTATATTAATTCGATGTTCGATGCGGCGCAGAATTTAATTAACTTATCATTAATTAACATTCTGTCTTATGTATATAAACTTAGCTTAACTTTAATACGCCATTTTGCTGATAAAGATTAGCTGACGTTATAGGTCACATGTGTGGGTATGGGAGGTCTTCTTCTTTTTAAAGTTTAAGTATTCAATTAATGTAAATTTTGCTATCAATTTTATTCAAATTTATTTAATTAATAATAATCAAAATTATTTTATCAAAAATAAAACAAAACATCATAAATTTTATTATCACTTATGTTATTATTTAAGAAAACTTGGCTACTTACTTGGCTACTCAACTAGTAATTGTATTTTCGTAATTGTACTTGGACATATTGCTAATATGTATCGTTCTTTCTAGATCTTCCACCCGGACGGGACTTTCCTCAAGGCTTTTGGGACTTGGGGTTCGGGTGATGGAGAGTTTAAGGGTCTGGAAGGCATCGCCGTATCCCCCACCGGACAGATACTAGCCTGCGATAGAGAAAACCATCGAATACAAGTCTTCTGATAATCCAGTAAAATAAAAATTATTTTCATTGTTTACTTTTCTATTTTAAATTGGAGCGTAAAATAACGTTCGTAACATTTCCCACGAAACAAAGTGGTTGCCTCTCTAAAACGTGATTTTCGACGCAATTTGCATTAGACTTGATGGAATTGTGATTTTTGACGAAAATTGCAATTGCAAAAAACAAGCTGGATTATTAGAAGGAACAGCAGGTTTTGTAAAGCTCTGAAACTTAGTATTTTCATATCTTAAGAAGAACTGTTGATAGTTTCATATCTTACAAAGATTGAAATAAAAAAAAAGAAAAAAAAAGCTATGGACTAAAAAGAAAAATTAACAGAGAAAAGTTACTTATGTGTTTAGAAGAAATGTAAAAAATCACCATAGTATATAATTTCGCTTATATAATTTTAGTAATACGTACTGTTGTTATTATGTTAATTAATGCAGTTGTAATCAGGAATTTTACAACGGTTTTTCCGTAGTTTCAAAAAATATTTTTTTCCAGTGGTAGCAAAGATAGCGTATTAATATTTTAATGAATTAAAATTAAAAGAACGTTTTTCCACCACTACTTATGAATATTTTAAACGATATTTTAAAAATTAGATTGAAAAATAGCCATACACTAAAATCTTTATTTGGGTCAGATAAAAAATCTATTTGTTTTTAAAGTATATAGGTTTTGGTTTGCTTCCTCTAATAATTGTATTTCACACTGTTAGAGGTTATGTAATAGGTACCAAATATGCCAATATAGGTACGAAGTATTTTACTGATTTATTTGGTAATTGTTAAAACTGCACCAATACAAATTCTGTTTTAACCCTTTCGGCGAAATACGGCGAAAAATCAGCAGGGGTGAAAGCGAGACGGAAAAGAGGAAAGGCTGGTAGTAAAATCATTTCAGTTATGGCTAGTTTTGGGGAGGAGTTTACTTATTCTTTTTTTAAATTTTTCAACAATATCTACTTTATCTTGGAAAGGAAGCAGTTTTATATATATGCCAAAATTATAAAAGAAATCTTGATGGTTACAGATATTTCATTTTTTTCGAAAAAAATGCTGGAATGAAGTGTTTTACGTACCAGGTTTTTCTCTTTTCCGTCTTGCTATATAAGGGCTTTCACCCATGGACTGGGACAGCAAATGTCCCGTCCGGTGCGAAAGGGTTAATAAAGTTAGAGGCGAACTGCCTAAATCGTATCACTTTTCACTTATAAATTTTTAACAATCACAAATCACTGACAAATGCATTTGAGATATTTTAATAATAAAATATAGTTATTCAGAGCTACTTATTTTTTTTATTTTTTTTGTAAAAATATTTTTGCAGTAGGGTTATGAAAATTAATTCTTTTTACAAGCTCTGCAAGTAGTACGATTTAGGAAACCAGTTGCCTAATTCGTATCACCAGCTCCCTAAATCGTACCGACCTGGAAAATTTGAGGAAAAATTGAGTAAATAAATAAATCGAGAATTCGTAATCCAAAACAAGAGTTAAGTTTTTACTGTAAAATACACTCCTACGTTTTCTTGTTACGAGGTCAGTAAATGGCATTGTAAGTCAAAAAAAGTTGCCATAATACATGCAGTTTGTTACTAGAAAGCTCAAGTACGACTTTTACTTGGAAAAAACATAATTAATAATAAAAATGAACACTCAGGAATTAATAAAAAAAATTAAAAATTGTGATCACTTTATTACGATCGCTGGTTGCCCATTGGGCAATTGCTTTTTTTTCTGGTTTGACTCCGATAAAAGCCACAACATTTCAAATAATGAGTTGTACAAACTGTCCCGATTGATGTCCAACTGTCTCAAATGTCGTCTGATTAGTTTACAAATCCTGACTATATACGTGTTTCAAGACGTTAGAAATTACTTTTCCTTCTTCTGTATTCATATTTATATAAGTAAGTAATTAAAAGTTAATTTTAAAAAGAATAGAAAAAATTCTGTAGAGTATTATTCTATAAATACATTAAGAATGACTGTTGGTGAAAATAAAAAGAAAAAAAAAATGAATTCTAAAAAAATTATTAAACAACAGCGGTCGCCATAGCAACGCAATGACGACGCATGCGCATTGTTCACTATTACTCTTGAACACAGTTGACGTCCAAATAAGGCACGCACGCCATCAAAACCAAAACAATACCCATTTTGCAAAAGGGTAAAAAATAGTTGAAATTATTTTAGATTTATAAATTGTGTTGGTATATGTCTTTTAGTTACGGGCATGATTTCTTGATGTTATTCAATACTAATTTATAGATTCTTTTCTTTTTTATATATATTCATCCCGTATTTAACTGGTATACAGCTAGTAAACTAAGCAATTTTTTGTACTAATGTGTGTTTCTCTCTTTTATTTCTTAGCAGTTTGTTTTGGTGCAAGTGCTTCCAGACCTGAAAGAAAAAAGTTGTATTGAATTCCTTTTCGTGTGGCTTTGCTAACACTTTGTATAGCTTCTTTGTACACAAATGCTTCTCTTGATCCTCTTTGTTACAGATTCACTCTTTTTTTGTAACTAATTCTGTTGCTAATAAAGATCAATTTTATTCTCAGTCTCATTTTTCTAAATAAAATCAATTATGATAAGAAAAAAACTTTACTGTTATGAATACTGGCTGTCAACTATCACATTTTTAGTAAAAGATTTTATAGAGTAGTAGACAAGTAAAAACAAAGCTTTAAGAATTTTCGGTAATTTTGGTAACATTTTTAAAGCCTCATCACGAGACAACTTGGACCAAGCGGTGTTCCCTATGACCATTTGAATCTAGGGCTGCCAACTTTCAACGCTTTTTGTAAAAATTTAGTCCAGTGGTAGTTAAGTTTATGTTTTAATGCAGTATTTTTTAATTCATTTAAACTTATTTTCCACACCACTATATATAAATGATTTAAAAGTTCTTATCGAACGCCATTTTTTTTTCAACTTCAGGTGCTCCGCGGTTCTTGAAAAATTTTAGTAGTGGTATTACGTTTAGATTAATGCTTAAAGATATTTCTTATATTAGTATGCTACTTCGTTGTTAAGAGATTTGGAAATTGGAATTTTCATGCATGTAAACTTTTTTTGGAAAATATTTTTTACTGGTAGTTACACAGAAATTAAATTATCGATATTTGTCGAATTTTCGTTACCACTTTTTAAAAGTTACAAGACCCGAGGGAACCCTGCAGCTCTCTCATGGCGTGGCTTTTAAAATGTTAACAAAATTATCAAAAGTTCTGAATGTTTTGGTTTTTAAACGTCTACCACTCTATAAAATATTTTGCAAAAAGCGTAGTAGTTGGCAGGCGTGCCTTTGCATATGGTGTGGTAAATAACTTTAAATCAAATTTACGAAACAAAGAATATTCATAAACTTAGCTACCACTAGAAGAACATTTTCCAAAAAAACATAGAAAGTTGACAGCCCTATAAATATCTTTACTTCTAGCAAGGTGCTTGTTTTCCAGTAACAGCCGCCCCATAGACGGCTGAACTCAAACTGTTTTTATTATAAATTTCTGTAATATTACATGATGTATGGGATATGGGCCTTCTTCGCGGCCCAGGTGCCCATTTTTTGTAAATAAAAGTAAATATCTTTACTAATTTTCAATGTACACATGGACGCCAATTGATTCGAACCTTCTGAAAGCTTTGATTTTAAATGTCTACCACCGTGTATAATAATTTGAGAAACTCGTAGTAGTTGGCAGCACTGTATATCAAATTGTCTAAACTGAAAATGAAAATTTAAAATATTAAATTAGTGACGACTAAAAAAGTTTTCTCATAAACAGAGAAAGTTGGCATCTCAGCATCTTGTGAATGAGGGCTTATTGGTAAAAATACATTTGCAGGCTTGTGTGCTCAATTTAGGCTCATGAGGTTTTGTCAAACAAGTAGAAGGATTGTTAGCACAATTCAGAGAAGAAAAAAAACGCGAAGATACAGGTCTAGGACATAAAACGCAGAGATGCCAACTGCTCCGGACACGCCAAAATAATTTAAAAAACGGTAAAGAATTGCANCTTATTTCTCAGCAGTTTGTTTTGGTGCAAGTGCTTCCAGACCTGAAAGAAAAAAGTTGTATTGAATTCCTTTTCGTGTGGCTTTGCTAACACTTTGTATAGCTTCTTTGTACACAAATGCTTCTCTTGATCCTCTTTGTTACAGATTCACTCTTTTTTTGTAACTAATTCTGTTGCTAATAAAGATCAATTTTATTCTCAGTCTCATTTTTCTAAATAAAATCAATAATGATGAGAAAAAACTCTACTGTTATGAATACTGGCTGTCAACTATCACATTTTTAGTGAAAGATTTTATAGAGTAGTAGACAAGTAAAAATAAAGCTTTAAGAATTTTCGGCAATTTTGCTGACACTTTTAAAGCCTCAACACGAGAGAACTGGGACCAAGCGGTGTTTCATAGAGCTGCCAACTTTCTATCCTTTTTGTAAAAATTTAGTCTAGTGGTAGCTAAGTTTATGTTTTAATGTATTATTAATTCATTTAAACTTATTTTCCACACCACTATATATAAATGATTTAAAAGTTCTTATCGAACGCCATTTTTTTTCAGCTTCAGGGGTTCCTCGGTTCTAGAAAAATTTTAGTACTGCATACCTGCCAACTCTTCCGGTTTTTCCGGAAGATTTTAATTTTGTATTTAAAGTTGTACCGAAACTCATGTCATGTCATTAAAATTTTTGAATTATAATAATAATTATAAATGAGTTTGACCACCACTACGTTTAAATCAAATATATAAAAGCATACTAATCTTAACGTTAGCGAATTTTAACCTAGTCAAAATATAAATATATTTTTGAGTAAGGTTGTTTTTCGGTAATTGTTTTACTACCACTTGGAAAATTCATTCTCAGAAAGAGTGAAAGTTGGCAGGTATGGTAGTGGTATTACGTTTAGATTAATGGTTAAAGATATTTCTTATTTTAATATGATACTTCGTTGTTAAGTGGTTTGGAAGCTGGAATTTTCATGCATATATACTTTCTTTGGAAAACATTTTTTACTGGTAGTTACACAGAAATTAAACTATCGATATTTGTTGAATTTTCGTTACCACTTTTTAAAATTTACAAGAGCTGAGGAAACCCTGCAGCTCTCTCATAGCGAGGCTTTTAAAATGTTAGCAAAATTATCAAAAGTTCTGAATGCTTTGGTTTTTAAACGTCTACCACTGTATAAAATATTTTGCAAAAAGCGTAGTAGTTGGCAGGCGTGCCTTTACATATGGTGTGGAAAATAACTTTAAATCAAATTTACGAAACAAAGAATAATACATTAATTCATAAACTTAGCTACCACTAGAAGAACATTTTCCAAAAAAACATAGAAAGTTGACAGCCCTGCAAATATCTTTACTTCTAGCAAGGTACTTGTTTTTCAGTAACAGTCGCCCTATAGACGGCTGAACTCAAACTGTTTTTTATAATAAATTTCTGTAATATTACATGATGTATGGAATATGGGCCTTCTGCGCCGCCCAGGTGACCAATTTTTGTAAATAAAAGTAAAGTAAAAGTAAATATCTTTACTAATGCTTGGTGCAACATCACCACATCACTCCTTAAAAAACTCAAAACATGCCAGAACAAAATCCTCAGGAAAATAACAAAAGCAAGATGGTTTATCAGAAATAAAAACATACATCGCGACCTCAACATAGATTCTTTAGAACATCACATTGCAAAGCTAAATTTCAGATTTCTTGAAAAAACCATAAATTGTGACACCGCAGGATTCAACGAAATTTTTACTTTTGAAAACTTAAGAGAAGACATAAACCTCAGACCGATGGCAGCTCATTTTTGTAGTGACGTAATTTTATCTAAAATTCAAAATATTTAACTTCCTTTTACTTCAATTGCATTCCAATTACCAGAAGAACCACCCCAAAGATCAAAATTCAAGACGAATGGGAAAAAGGCCGCTAACGGCCCCAGGCGCCCAGATAAATGTTGATGATGATGATATCTATACTAATTTTCAATGTACACATGGGTCCCGCAGTGGACTGATTGCTATGACACGGTTCCCAGCAGATCACCGAAATCAAGCATCACTGGCTACGGTCAGTGTGCGGGTGGGTGACCACTTGGATCAGTCTGCGTAGGGACCGAGGGTGTGCGGTATTGGTCCTCGTTAAACTGTGCTACCGTAAAGTGCTCGACTTCGCGCGCAGGTCGTCGGGCTACCGAAGCGGGGGTGCCATCCCCTCCGCAAAGGATCAAAAATGTGATGGCATGTCTTCGGATCATCCTCCGGGATGTTTCCCAGACCGTCGCCAATAGCCCATTGTGCAGCTCTAGTGCGACGTAAATTAACAACAACAACAATGTACACATGGATGCCAATTGATTAGAAACTTCTAAAAGCTTTAGTTCTTAAATGTCTACCACTCTATATAATAATTTTCAAAATGCGTAGTAGTTGTCTAAATCAAATTGTCTAAGCCGAGAATAAAAATTTTAAATACATTAAACTAGTTACGACTAAAAAAGTTTTCTCTTAAACAGAGAAAGTTGGCATCTCAGCATCTTGTGAAAGACTATTTATTGGTAAAAAATACATTTGCAGGCTCGTGTGCTCAATTTAGTCTCATGAGGTTTTGTCAAATAAGTAGAAGGATTGTTAGCACAAATCAGAGAAAAGAATCGCGAAGAAACAGGGGTAGGACAAAAAAAAAAAAAAAAAAAAANAAAAAAAAAAAAAAAAAAAAAAAAAAAAAAAAAAAAAAAAAAAAAAAAAAACGAGCTATTAAATTTCAAAGTGACCTACCTGATCACGCTATTTAGTCGAAAATGACATCATTGTTTGCGTGAAGGAAGATTGGCTGCGTTGAAGCGATTTTAGAAAATTGCTAAAAATGTTGCCTCTGAACAAGTTAGTTTTTGAGTTTCTTTATTTCTATTTAATAATTTATTGACTTTATAATAATAAACCATTCAAGATATATTACTACATTTTTTTTCAGACGTGTTTTTTTTTAGCCTAACATGTCAAAAAATTTAATTTAAATAAAAGAAATGTGTGTTTAATAGAAAAAAAAAATAATACTAAAAATAATGATAGTATTACAGTGGAAGAAAAATAATGATAGTACTACAGTGGTTAAGTCTTATTAAGAGCTGATAGGTAATAAATATAAATACTGTGACTGTAAGACAGTATTTTGTTTTGCTTTAGTTATAAATGTTATAATGTATAATGCATACAACCAAATAAATATTTAAGTCAAGTAAACGCCAGTTGATACATACCATGTCCCTTCCCAAATCTAGTGATGTCATTTTCGACCAATAGCAGGATCCGGCCATTTTGAAATTTAATCACTCGTGACAAAAATATGGAAATATAGTATCTTTATGCAAACAATCATTTAGCAATCTAATGTTTCGGAAGGTTTCACGAGGCAAAACTGTTGTCACAATTTGAAAGATCTTGCTTAAAACTTTTAGAAATTGTGTCTATTTTTACCCATGAAAATCTTCTTAAATAAACGTATTAGATCCTCGTCTTCATAAATATAGTTTGTCTACTG